TTTAAAAAATTCTACCCCTTTAAAAACATATGTCATATGGTAATTTCTTGTAGAGAAATGAGGATTTTGCAAAACTAAACTCCGCCCTTCAGCTCACGATGAATAAAATATTCGTCACAATCGAGAAGGGGTGGGTGGGCGGGGCTTATATTTGGTCCATTTTTTCTTAATATGCGAAGTTTTCTTTTCCCAACAAGAAACTGAAAACATTTTTAAGTATCCCGTTGTTGAAAGAAAACTTTATATTAAAAAATAAACAAAGATTAAGCCCCACCCACCCGCCCCGGTCTCAATTGTGATCACTCTTTCATTTCTAAACAGAGCGAAGGGCGGAGTTTAATTGTAACAGCAATATTTCTTAAAAAAATTCTACCCCTTTAAAAACATATGTCATATGGTAATTTCTTGTAGAGAAATGAGGATTTTGCAAAACTAAACTCCGCCCTTCAGCTCACGATGAATAAAATATTCGTCACAATCGAGAAGGGGTGGGTGGGCGGGGCATATATTTTGTCCATTTTTTTTTTTTCTTAATATGAGAAGTCTTCTTTTCCCAACAAGAAACTGAAAACATTTTTAAGTATCCTGTTGTTGAAAGAAAATTCTATATATGTATAAAAAAAAACAAAGATTAAGCCCCACCCACCCGCCCCGGTCTCAATTGTGATCACTTTTTCATTTCTAAACAGAGCGAAGGGCGGAGTTTAGTTGTAACAGCAATATTTCTTAAAAAAATTCTACCCCTCTAAAAACATGTGTCATATGGTAATTTCTTGTAGAGAAATGAGGATTTTGAAAAAATAAACTCCGCCCTTCGGCTCACGATGAATAAAATATTCGTCACAATCGAGAAGGGGTGGGTGGGCGGGGCATATATTTTGTCCATTTTTTTTTTTTCTTAATATGAGAAGTCTTCTTTTCCCAACAAGAAACTGACAATATATTTAACTATCCTGTTATTGAAAGAAAATTCTATATATTAAAAAAAAAAACAAAGATTAAGCCTCACCCACCCGCCCCGGTCTCAATTGTGATCACTTTTTCATTTCTAAACAGAGCGAAGGGCGGAGTTGAGTTGTAACAGCAATATTTCTTTAAAAAATTCTACCCCTTTAAAAACATGTGTCATATGGTAATTTCTTGTAGAGAAATGAGGATTTTGCAAAACTAAGCTCCGCCCTTCAGCTCACGATGAATAAAATATTCGTCACAATCGAGAAGGGGTGGGTGGGCGGGGCATATATTTTGTCCATTTTTTTTTTTTCTTAATATGAGAAGTCTTCTTTTCCCAACAAGAAACTGACAATATATTTAACTATCCTGTTATTGAAAGAAAATTCTATATATTAAAAAAAAAAACAAAGATTAAGCCTCACCCACCCGCCCCGGTCTCAATTGTGATCACTTTTTCATTTCTAAACAGAGCGAAGGGCGGAGTTGAGTTGTAACAGCAATATTTCTTTAAAAAATTCTACCCCTTTAAAAACATGTGTCATATGGTAATTTCTTGTAGAGAAATGAGGATTTTGCAAAACTAAGCTCCGCCCTTCAGCTCACGATGAATAAAATATTCGTCACAATCGAGAAGGGGTGGGTGGGCGGGGCATATATTTTGTCCATTTTTTTTTTTCTTAATATGAGAAGTCTTCTTTTCCCAACAAGAAACTGACAATATATTTAACTATCCTGTTATTGAAAGAAAATTCTATATATTAAAAAAAAAAACAAAGATTAAGCCTCACCCACCCGCCCCGGTCTCAATTGTGATCACTTTTTCATTTCTAAACAGAGCGAAGGGCGGAGTTGAGTTGTAACAGCAATATTTCTTTAAAAAATTCTACCCCTTTAAAAACATGTGTCATATGGTAATTTCTTGTAGAGAAATGAGGATTTTGCAAAACTAAGCTCCGCCCTTCAGCTCACGATGAATAAAATATTCGTCACAATCGAGAAGGGGTGGGTGGGCGGGGCTTATATTTGGTCCATTTTTTCTTAATATGCGAAGTTTTCTTTTCCCAACAAGAAACTGAAAACATTTTTAAGTATCCTGTTGTTGAAAGAAAATTCTATATATGTATAAAAAAACAAAAACAAAGATTAAGCCCCACCCACCCGCCCCGGTCTCAATTGTGATCACTCTTTCATTTCTAAACAGAGCGAAGGGCGGAGTTTAATTGTAACAGCAATATTTCTTAAAAAAATTCTACCCCTTTAAAAACATATGTCATAGGGTAAATTCTTGTAGAGAAATGAGGATTTTGCAAAACTAAACTCCGCCCTTCAGCTCACGATGAATAAAATATTCATCACAATCGAGAAGGGGTGGGTGGGAGGGGCATATATTTTGTCCATTTTTTTTCTTAATATAAGAAGTCTTCTTTTCCCAACAAGAAACTGAAAACATTTTTAAGTATCCTGTTGTTGAAAGAAAATTCTATATATGTATAAAAAAAACAAAGATTAAGCCCCACCCACCCGCCCCGGTCTCAATTGTGATCACTTTTTCATTTCTAAACAGAGCGAAGGGCGGAGTTTAGTTGTAACAGCAATATTTCTTTAAAAAATTCTACCCCTTTAAAAACATATGTCATATGGTAATTTCTTGTAGAGAAATGAGGATTTTGCAAACTAAACTCCGCCCTTCAGCTCACGATGAATAAAATATTCGTCACAATCGAGAAGGGGTGGGTGGGCGGGGCATATATTTTGTCCATTTTTTTTTTTTCTTAATATGAGAAGTCTTCTTTTCCCAACAAGAAACTGACAATATATTTAACTATCCTGTTATTGAAAGAAAATTCTATATATTAAAAAAAAAAACAAAGATTAAGCCCCACCCACCTGCCCCTGTCTCAATTGTGATCACTTTCATTTCTAAACAGAGCGAAGGGCGGAGTTGAGTTGTAACAGCAATATTTCTTTAAAAAATTCTACCCCTTTAAAAACATGTCATATGGTAATTTCTTGTAGAGAAATGAGGATTTTGAAAAAATAAACTCCGCCCTTCGGCTCACGATGAATAAAATATTCGTCACAATTGAAAAGGGGTGGGTGGGCGGGGCTTATATTTGGTCCATTTTTTCTTAATATGCGAAGTTTTCTTTTCCCAACAAGAAACTGAAAACATTTTTAAGTATCCTGTTGTTGAAAGAAAATTCTATATATGTATAAAAAAACAAAAACAAAGATTAAGCCCCACCCACCCGCCCCGGTCTCAATTGTGATCACTCTTTCATTTCTAAACAGAGCGAAGGGCGGAGTTTAATTGTAACAGCAATATTTCTTAAAAAAATTCTACCCCTTTAAAAACATATGTCATATGGTAATTTCTTGTAGAGAAATGAGGATTTTGCAAAACTAAACTCCGCCCTTCAGCTCACGATGAATAAAATATTCGTCACAATCGAGAAGGGGTGGGTGGGCGGGGCATATATTTTGTCTTTTTTTTTTTTCTTAATATGAGAAGTCTTCTTTTCCCAACAAGAAACTGACAATATATTTAACTATCCTGTTATTGAAAGAAAATTCTATATATTAAAAAAAAAAAACAAAGATTAAGCCCCACCCACCCGCCCCGGTCTCAATTGTGATCACTTTTTCATTTCTAAACAGAGCGAAGGGCGGAGTTGAGTTGTAACAGCAATATTTCTTTAAAAAATTCTACCCCTTTAAAAACATGTGTCATATGGTAATTTCTTGTAGAGAAATGAGGATTTTGCAAAACTAAACTCCGCCCTTCAGCTCACGATGAATAAAATATTCGTCACAATCGAGAAGGGGTGGGTGGGCGGGGCTTATATTTGGTCCATTTTTTCTTAATATGCGAAGTTTTCTTTTCCCAACAAGAAACTGAAAACATTTTTAAGTATCCTGTTGTTGAAAGAAAATTCTATATATGTATAAAAAAACAAAAACAAAGATTAAGCCCCACCCACCCGCCCCGGTCTCAATTGTGATCACTTTTTCATTTCTAAACAGAGCGAAGGGCGGAGTTTAATTGTAACAGCAATATTTCTTAAAAAAATTCTACCCCTTTAAAAACATATGTCATAGGGTAAATTCTTGTAGAGAAATGAGGATTTTGCAAAACTAAACTCCGCCCTTCAGCTCACGATGAATAAAATATTCATCACAATCGAGAAGGGGTGGGTGGGAGGGGCATATATTTTGTCCATTTTTTTTCTTAATATAAGAAGTCTTCTTTTCCCAACAAGAAACTGAAAACATTTTTAAGTATCCTGTTGTTGAAAGAAAATTCTATATATGTATAAAAAAAACAAAGATTAAGCCCCACCCACCCGCCCCGGTCTCAATTGTGATCACTTTTTCATTTCTAAACAGAGCGAAGGGCGGAGTTTAGTTGTAACAGCAATATTTCTTTAAAAAATTCTACCCCTTTAAAAACATATGTCATATGGTAATTTCTTGTAGAGAAATGAGGATTTTGCAAACTAAACTCCGCCCTTCAGCTCACGATGAATAAAATATTCGTCACAATCGAGAAGGGGTGGGTGGGCGGGGCATATATTTTGTCCATTTTTTTTTTTTCTTAATATGAGAAGTCTTCTTTTCCCAACAAGAAACTGACAATATATTTAACTATCCTGTTATTGAAAGAAAATTCTATATATTAAAAAAAAAAACAAAGATTAAGCCCCACCCACCCGCCCCGGTCTCAATTGTGATCACTTTTTCATTTCTAAACAGAGCGAAGGGCGGAGTTGAGTTGTAACAGCAATATTTCTTTAAAAAATTCTACCCCTTTAAAAACATGTCATATGGTAATTTCTTGTAGAGAAATGAGGATTTTGCAAAACTAAACTCCGCCCTTCAGCTCACGATGAATAAAATATTCGTCACAATCGAGAAGGGGTGGGTGGGCGGGGCATATATTTTGTCCATTTTTTTTTTTTTTTCTTAATATAAGAAGTCTTCTTTTCCCAACAAGAAACCGCCAATATATTTAACTATCCTGTACAAGACTTGTGTATCCATTTCAGGTGGCACATCCTTCGGTAAGCACCTCGTCCACGACCTCGACCTGAAACGTCCGTGCACCTGTCCGCTGACGCGCAAGCGCTGCTACTGCTTCCGCCCCCACTCCAACCAGAGCTGGCTCTTCAGCCGCTACACCACCGGCTGGAAGTGCGGCCTGCACGCCGACTGGACCGAGCTCACCTCCTGCGTGGACGAGAAGCTCGACGAGCTCGAGGGCAACGTCGTCAAGCGCCGCTACTTCTACATCACCCTGCTGCGCGAGCCCGTCGCGCGCTACCTCAGCGAGTTCCGGCACGTGCAGCGCGGCGCCACGTGGAAGGGCTCGCGCCACTACTGCCGCGGCCGCGCCGCCTCCGACGCCGAGCTGCCCCCCTGCTACCGCGGCCAGGACTGGGAGGGCGTCAGCCTCGACGACTTCATCGACTGCGACAGCAACCTCGCCGTCAACCGGCAGACGCGCATGCTCGCCGACCTCGAGCTGGTGGGCTGCTACGACAAGGCCTACATGAGCAAGGCGGACCGCGAGCGCACGATGCTGATCAGCGCCAAGAAGAACCTGGAGTCGCTGGCGTTCTTCGGCCTGACGGAGCACCAGAAGATGTCGCAGTACATCTTCGAGGAGACGTTCAACCTGCGCTTCGCGGTGCCCTTCGAGCAGAACAACGCGACGGTGTCGAGCTCGACGATGCCGACGCTGACGGCGACGCAGGCGGCGAAGATCGCGGCGCTGAACAACCTGGACATCGAGCTGTACAAGTTCGCGAAGGGGTTGCTGCTGAAGCGGTTCGAGAGGCTGAGGGCGAGGGACGCGGACTTCGACAGGCGGTACAGTCACCTGGGGGAGCTGATGGGGCGCAGCGGGGTGACGGAGTTCGACTGGGATAGGCTGGTCGAGGACGTTACGGTGGCGCACTAGGTGAGGTGCGGGGAGTAGGTGTAGGTTTTTTTTGGTTGTTGTTTGTCGTTTTTTGACGGGGGGTGGCTGCGGCCGGGGCGAAAGGAGGTGGAAAGATGAACTTTTCGTGGAAATTGATGTGTCTATGAAGCCGAGAAAGCCAGAATTACTGACACCAAAAAGCAATAAATGTTGTTAATAATAATAAGTAACAATGTGATAAGAAAATTCGTCATAATTTTCTATTTGAAAAAAAAAATTGGATCACCCGATATATGTACAGTATACATACCGGGTGAGTCACTGAACGCGGCTGAAAGTTGTACAGTTCTTTAAAATTTCAAACTACGAATGTTCCATTTTTAATGAAACATCCTATACGTTTTTTTAGAATATGTATCGATATTTCAGTTTTTTCAATTGGAACACCCTGTATTTTATTATTGTATCTTACTCTGAGTAACGAAATGTAGCGTGATCTATTTGAAAAAAAAAACCACTCTGTAAAAATATATAGGGTGTTTCATTAAAAAAAACTAAGGTGTGTGTTACGCCCTAAAACAAAACGTTCTGTATAGTTGAAAATAACTTCAGAGTATAGTCCTCAAAGAACCGTACAATTTTGGTCTTTGACTTTTTTTTCTAGTTGTAATAAACAATGAGTTCAGTGACTCACCCTGTATATTTGGGGCTTTTAGCTATACCACGTCCATTTTCGAGTGGCCATATTTGAGCTTGTTCGCTAAAACTGAAAAATTCTTGGTCGCAAATTCCAACTTGGATAGTTTAATAGTGTACAGGGTGAGCCAATAAACGCGTATTCCTCAATATCTCACTGATTATAAAAGGAATAGACAAAAAAAATCAGCGATCAGAGTTTACTGTTTTTGAAGTGTATTCAACGTAAAATTTTTTTTTTTTTTTAAACACGTGGTTGGTTTTGTCAATTTTTCAAATAGGACACGCTGTATTTTATTAATTTATCTTACTGTCTTGTTTATTCTCGTTCGCGTAATCGCGTAACACAGCTTAGTTTTTTTAAATAAAACACCCTATATATTTTTACGTATTCTGATTAGCTTCTTAGTAGGCTTTGTAATCACAGTTTATTTTTGGAATTCCGATGCGACGTTGCCACGTTATTCGAATTTTCTTGAAATTTTTTGGTCATGGAAAAAATCTCAATTGGGTTATTTGTACCCTTCCGTTGCTAAATAAAAAAATTCAAGAAAATATGACGAACATGGCAACGTCGCATTATGAGTTCAAAAATAAACCACGGCCTAAGCCTAAAACCTAAAAAATAGTCAATCAAAATATGTCAAAATGTATAGAGTTTCATTAAAAAAAGTTATTTGTTACGTCTTAAAAAGAGAACACTCTGTATAGTTTAAAATAATCTTATTGTCGTGTTTATTCTCGTCCTTTTTTGTTAGGAGAATAAAAATGGTATACAATACGGAGTGTTCTATTTGAGAAATTTTGAAATTCCTATGCGACGTTGCCATGTTATTCGATTTTTCTTGAAATTTCTTGCAATGGAAGGTTTTTTTTTAATCTGTGTTACAGTATTTTGTGAGGGTTAAATAAAGGTGCGCTCTTTGTTGTGGTACCACTTAAATCAAATTTTAATGTACAGAGTGTTTATAAAAACTTTTGAACTTTACAGTTTTCAAATATCGATATTTCAGTTTTTTGGATTTTTTTTTTAATTTTATTGATATTTTCGATTTTCTTGGATAAATGGATTTCTTGCATTTCTTGGGCTTTTTGTTTCTTAGGTTTCTTAGATTTTTTTAATTCATAGATTTTTTTGATTTTTTAGAAAATTGCATTTCTTGGATTTTTCGGATTATGTTGGATTTCTTGGGGTTTTTGAATTTTCTTAAAATGTTTTGGTATTTTTGAATTTTTGGAATTATTGGATTTATTCAATTTTTTTGGGTTTCTTGGATTTGTTGGATTTTTAATTCTTTGATTTTTTCGATTCTTTTGAATATTTTAGATTTTTAATTGCATTTTTTTTTTATTTTAGATTTTTGATTTTTTTTTTTTATTTTTAGAATCTCTCGTACAATATTTTGTGAGGCTTAAATAAAAGCACGCGCCTTGTTATGGTACCAATTAATTCAAATTTTAATCTACAGAGTGTTTGTAAAAATTTTCAAAGTTTACAATTTTCAAATATCTGAGATTTCAGTATTTTCTAGTAGAAAAAGATTAAATTCTGAAATTTTTTGGATAGGTTTCTTGGATTTTTTTTGAATATTTTAGATATTTTAATCTACAGGGTGTTTGTAAAAATTTTCAGATATCGAGATTTCAGTATTTTCTAGCAAAAAAAGATTAAATTGTTAAATTTTTTGGATTTTTTTTTTATGGATATTTTCGATTTTCTTGAATTTCTTGGGCTTTTTGTTTCTTAAGTTTATTGGATTTTTTAATTCTTGGATTTTTTTTGAAGATTTTAGATATTTTCGATTTTCTGAAAATTGCATTTCTTGGATTTTTCGGATTTTTTTGGATTTCTTGGGGTTTTTGAATTTTCTTGGAATATTTTGATTTTTTCGAATTTTTGAATTTCTTGAGTTTTTTAAATTCCTTGAGTTTTTTGGATTTGTAAGATTTTTGAAATTATTGGATTTCTTCAATTTTTTGGAAATCTTGGATTTGTTAGATTTTTTAAATTCTTTCATTTTTGGATTTTTTTAATATTGTGGATATTATCGATTTTCTCGATAATTGAAATGATTGGATTTCTTGAGTTTCTTGGATTTTTTTAAATCTTTGATTTTTTTTTAAGATTTTAAATATTTTCGATTTTTTAGAAAATTGCATTTCCTGGATTTTTTTGATTATTTTGGATTTCTTGGGGTTTTTGAATTTCCTTGAAATGTTTTGATTTTTTTGAATTTTTGGATTTCTTGAGTTTTTTTAATTCCTTGACGTTTTTGGATTTTTAAAATTTTTGAAATTTTTGGATTTCTTGAATTTGTTAGATTTTTTAAATTCTTTCATTTTTGAACTTTTTTAATATTGTGGATGTTATCGATTTTTTCGATCATTGGAATTATTGGATTTCTTGAGTTTCTTGGATTTTTAACACTTTGATTTTTTGGATTTCTGGTGTTTTTTGATTTTTTTTTTTTAATTTTTAAAATCTGTGGTACAATATTTTGTGATGCTTAAATAAAGGCACGCGCCTTGTTGTGGTACCAAGTACATAATTCAAATTTTAATCTACAGTGTTTGTAAAAATTTTCAAAGTTTACAATTTTCAAATACCGAAATTTTGGTATTTTTTAGTAGAAAAAGATTCAATTCTTAAATTTGTTGGTTTTTTTTTTTAATTTTATGGTTATTTTCGATTTTCTTGGATTTCTTGGGCTCTTTGTTTCTTGGGTTTCTTGGATTTGTTTACTTCTTTGAATTTTTTTAAGATTTTAAATGTTTTCGATTTTTTTGAAAATTGCATTTCTTGGATTTCTTGAGGTTTTTGAATTTTCTTGGAATGTTTTGATTTTTTTGAATTTTTGGAATTATTGAATTTCTTGAGTTTTTTAATTTTTGGATTTTTAAAATTTTTGTAATTATTGGATTTCTTCAATTTTTTGGATTTCTTGGATTTGTTAGATTTTTTAAATTCTTCCATTTTTTGGATTTTTTAATATTGTGGATATTATCGATTTTTTTCGATTTTCTTGAATTTCTTGGGCTTTTTGTTTCTTAGGTTTCTTGGATTTTTTAATTCTTTGATTTTTTTGATTTTTTTTTTTGAGATTTTAGATGTTTTCGATTTTTTAGAAACTTGCATTTCTTGGATTTTTCAGATTATTTTGGATTTCTTTTTGGGGATTTTGAATTTTCTTGAAATGTTTTCATTTTTTTTAGTTTTTGGAATTATTGGATTTCTTGAGTTTCATGGATTTTTAATTCTTTGATTTTGTGGATTCTTTTGAAAATTTCAGATATTTTAGATTTTTTGATTTCTTAGGTTTTCTGATTTTTTTTTTAATTTTTAAAATCTTGTACAATATTTTGTGAGGCTTAAATAAAGACACGCGTTTTGTTATGGTACCACTTAAATCAAATTTTAATGTACAGAGTGTTTGTACAAACTTTCAGTCTTTTCTAATAGAAAAAAATTAAGTTTTTTTAATTTTTTGGAAATTTTGAAAACTGGATATTATCGATTTTTTTGGATAATTGGATTTCTTGGATTTTTTAATTCCTTGATTTTTTGGTTCCTTTTGAATATTTTAGATATTTTTTATATAATTGGATTTCTTGCATTTCTTGGGTTTTTTGAATTTTTTTAGATTTTTTTGTTATTCTTAAAATCCGTTACAATATTTTCTGGGGGTTAAATAAAGGTGCGCGCTTTGTTGTGGTACCACTTAAATCAAATTTTAATGTACAGAGTGTTTGTAAAAACCTTCAAACTTTACAATTTTCAAATATCGATACGTCAGTTTTTCTAGTAGAAAATATGTACTCAACAGTTGAAAAAACTGAAAATCGATATTTAAAAATTGTAATAATTAAACATTGTTTTAAAAACGCTCTGTATATGAAGATTCAATTTTGTCGAGAGTTCAAAAATAACCCTACTGCGATTTTTTGTGAATCCTTCCATTGCTAAAAACCTTCAAAAATACAGAGTGGTTGTAAAGCGTAGGAACAAGCCAATCGAAATATGTCAAAATTTCCAATTAATAAGATATCGAGAACTCACCTGTATAGAGCTTTCATATATCGTTTTTACATCCAGTGACCTGTGAATGCGTCAATTGTCAGAATAATTATGACATTTGAACGTTCGTTGCCATGGAGATGGTTAGTTACACCTCAAAATCAGGACACTCTGTACAACTGAAAATAATTGTAGATTTGCAGCTGCAATGATCTGAATCTCGTTTATATTTAAAATTACAAACTTTAGTCGTAAATGATTTCAAAACCAGTGGCGTAGAAATGTACACATCTTAACAAATATCAGCAAAACTACGTACACTAAGCGGTTAATATTTAACTTGGTTTCTGGCTTGAAGTATTCGTAGCCATATTCGTATTATCCCCTTTTCCACCTCGTCTTCGCCAAACAACGTTCCGTTTCCACGCAGCCATTCCGTTACCAATAACTGAACCATCGACGTGACAATAAGATGGAAAACGTAAGAAAGACGTAAGTTACTTTATTAAATTTAGCCAAAATGTCTGCCATATAGAACACTGTACACTCAGCACACACCACACACCTGTTTTCATTTGTCACTAGTCACCGCTCAGATAGAAGACAGTGGAAATCACCAATCAAATCAGAGATTCATTTTTGTTCGTTTGCGATGTTGATTCCGACACTAACACTGCCTTTTAGGTTTTAACGAACGCGTATACCAAAGATATGTATTAGTGCAGCTAATTTATTTTCTAAGTTGGTTTAAGTGAGTGCAATCGTTTAAGGTCCTAGGTTATTTGTCTTGTATTGATATTAAATAATTAACAGGGTTATCGAACTGGTAGTTATTTTTTTAAAAAAAGAGGATACTTGTTAAGACAATCTGGTGCCCTACTATGTGATTAACGTTATACTTTGCAATTCGGTGTTTATTGCAGTTTGTTTCAATACTGTGTATTGCATTTATTTTTCTAAGTGATTACTTTAATGTATTAAATAACGAACATATCGTCTATCCGGATACGTTAGCCTCATAATTTGACTGATTATTTAGACTATTTTTAGATATATTTGTAGTACTTAGTTGTTTTTAGTTTGTTATCTCCTGTAATATATTTAGGTGCATGTATCATACATACGAAAATATATATACTTTTTACATGAGGATTTATCTATAAATGAACCCCTCGCCGTTTAGTGGTGGAATCTTTATTGGATGATATGTTAAAAGTGTTTAAATTATTGTATAGTTATTTGTACGAACAAAGAAAAAGCGCATAAGCGTTCAAAAATAACCCTACTGCGATTTTTTGTGAATCCTTCCATTGCTAAAAACCTTCAAAAATACAGAGTGGTTGTACAGCGTAAGACCAAGTCAATCGAAATATGTCAAAATTTCCAATTAATAAGATATCGAGAACTCGAGTTTTCAGATCGCTTTTACATCCAGTAACTTGTGAATGCGTCAGTTGTCAGAATAATTATGACATTTGAACGTTCGTTGCCATGGAGATGGTTAGTTACACCTCAAAATCAGGACACTCTGTACAACTGAAAATAATTGTAGATTTGCAGTTGCAATGATCTGAATCTCACTTACATTTAAAATTACAAACTGAACCCCTCGCTGCTTAGTGGTGGAATCTTTATTGAATCATACATGATATGTTAAAAGTGTTTAAATTATTGTATAGTTATTTGTACGAACAAAGAGAAAGCGCATGAGCCGTTTTTACAACCTAATTACGATAAATTCCAAGTACTATAACTGCTGGATGGAGATTTCTCTGGAATAGTATATACATCCAATCTTAGTTTATACATTTATACACACTTAAATTACTGTTTGTTCATATACCTCTTAACGTTAAAATAAATAATTAAAAAAATATAAATAGTATAAAAAATACTGTGATGTGATTGAGACCACGATTTAAAGCAGCGACTGCTCCAGCATGATTTTCTCGAAACCCGACGGCGGGGAATAGTTAAAATTGTCTAGGATTATATCTAAGATGGCACCATCGTCGACTGCAACAAACCAATCAAAAGTAAGCTCAGTCCACCACGAACCTACTTACCGTAGAGCGCCGGATACACAGTCCCCTTGACGTTGGTCACTCCGTAATCAATCTCGGTTCCGTTTACGTAAAATTTGAGCTGGATGTGGTCGAACGACACACCTATCACATCGCCCTCTTGGATACCCGCGATCTCCCCAGAAGACCCGTTCGAGATGTTTATTTTGTAAAGTTCTTGCTTGTTGTGGCGGATGATGTGGTCGCTGCAGAGACACCACGAGAACTCATCCATACCTCCTGGAAACGCAGTATTAAGTTTAGGGGTGGATTAAGGGAGAGGTCGTACCTTTGGTTAAACTTAAGTCAGTCTGTCGCGTCGACAAGCCTATCGACCAGGAGCCCCCTTGCTGCACTTTCACTTCGAAGTAGGACTTGGATTGGACGAGGGGGGCGTTACCTGCAGGTAATTACAACAACATTAATTACACAAAGAGAACAATTTAATTTTAATATTTATCTAGTATTTAAATTGTTCCATATTCAGTTTTGTTATAACAGTACAACAATAAAGAGTGTTTCCAATTTTTTTTTTTTTTTGGAGTATAAGAAGTAAAAGTAAAATCCAAAAGATCAACAGGTTATGGACCCAGAGTAGTAAGTACTTTGGCAGGAGAATATGCAAAAACATTGGGTCACTTACACAAACATCACTCTTGAAATAGAAAATTGGTCCAAGATTTTTTCATTTTTTTTTTTTTGATTAGGTAATTACGGTTTTTTTGGAATTATTGGATTTCTTGAGTTTTTTAAGTTTCTTGGATTTTATTGAATTTCACAGATTTTTTGGTTTTTCGTTTTTTAAAATTGTCAGAATTGATTTGATTTTTTGTATTTTTTTAAATTTTTTGGATATTTTCGATTTTTTGGTTACTTGGATTTCTTGAGTTTTTTTTAATTTCTTGGGGTTTTTGGAGTGTTCATTTTTTTTTACTGATTTTTTTGGATTCTTGGAATGATTGGATTTCTTAAGTTTTTGGGTTTCGATTTAGAGGAAATTGGGTTTCTTGGATTTTTGGATTTTTTGGATTTTTGTTAATTTTATGGATATTTTAAATTTTTTTAATAATTGGATTTCTTGAATTTCTTGAGCTTTTTAAGTTTCTTAGATTTTTTGGATTTTATAGATTTTTCGGATTTTATTGAATTTTTTCGTTTTTTTAAATTGTTAAAATTGACTTGATTTTTTGTATTTTTTTTTAATTTTTGGATATTTTCGATTTTTTGGTCACTTGGATTTCTTGAGTTTTTTTAATTTCTTGGGTTTTTTGGAGTGTTCGTTTTTTTTTGATATTTTTTTGTTTTTTTACTGATTTGTTTGGATTCTTGGAATGACTGGATTTCTTGAGTTTTTAAGTTTCTTGTATTTTTTAGATTTTTTTCATGTTTAGGATATTTTCGATTTTTAGGAAATTGAATATACTGCATTTCTTGGATTTTAAAAATTCCTTGGATTGTTTTTTAATTTTTTGAATTTTTGGAGTTCTTGATTTTTTTAAATTCTTTGATTTTTTGGATGTTTGTTAATGTTATGGATATCTTCAATTTTTTTAATAATTGGATTTCTTGAATTTCTTGAGTTTTTTAAATTTCTTAGATTTTTTTGGATTTTATAGATTTTTCGGAATTTATTGTTTTTTTTTTGTTTTTTTAATTTTTGGAGTTGATTTTTTTTTTTTTTTAATTATGGATATTGTCGATTTTTTGGTTAATTGGATTTCTTGAGTTTTTTGAATTTCTGGTGTTTCTCGCATTTTTTCGGTTTTTGTTTTCTTTTTTTAGATTGTACGGATTTTTTAGTTTTTGTCTTTATTTTGGGTTAATTCAATTTTTTTCGATTTTTTGGACAATTTTTAATTTTTGGTTTCTTGAGATTTTTGAGTTTCTTGGATTTCTTGAATATTTTGAAAATTTTCGATTTTTGGAATAATTTGATTTTATAGATTTTTTGGCTTTTATAGGATTTTTTGTATTTATATGTTTTTGAACATTTTCGATTTTTTGGTTAATCGGATTTGTTGAGTTTTTTTAATTTCTTGGAGTGTTCGTTTTTTTTTTGATAATTTTTATTTCATTGTTTTACCGATTTTTTTAGATTTTTGGAATTAATGGATTTCTTGAGTTTTTGAGTTTCTTGGGTTTCTTGGATTTTTTAGATTTTTGGAATTATTGGATTACTTGGATTTTCAAATTCTTTGATTTTTGTTTTTTTTTCAAATTTATGGATATTGTCGATTTTTTGGTTAATTGGATTTCTTGAGCTTTTTGGATTTTTTGATTTTAATTATTAGATTTCTTGGATTTCTTAGATTTTTTAGATTGTACGGATTTTATCGAATTATTGTTTTTATTTTGGATTAATTCAGTTTTTTCGATTTTTTCCACAATTTTTTTTTTGTTTTTTTATTTTCCGATTGTTTTGGATTTTTGGAATGATTGGATTTCATGAGATTTTTGAGTTTCTTGGATTTTTTGAAGATTTTGAAAATTTTCGATTTTTGCAATAATTTGATTTTATATAAATTTTTTTGGTTTTTAATTGATTTTTTGTTATTGATTTTTATTTTTTGGATATTTTCGATTTTTTGGTTAATCGGATTTCTTGAGTTTTTTTAATTTCTTGGAGTGTTTGTTTTTTTTTTGATAATTTTTATTTCATTTTTTACAGATTTTTTTAAATTTTTGGAATTATTGGATTTCTTGAGTTTTTAAATTCTTTGATTTTTTGTTTTTTTTTTTCAAATTTATGGATCTTGTCGATTTTTTGGTTAATTGGATTTCTTGAACTTTTTGGATCTTTTGATTTTAATTATTAGATTTCTTAGATTTCTTAGATTTTTGTTTTTTTTTTTAGATTGTACGGATTTTTTCGAATTTTTGTTTTTATTTTGGATTAATTCAGTTTTTTCGATTTTTTGCACAATTTTTATTTTTTGGTTTTTTATTTTCCGATTTTTTTGGATTTTTGGAATGATTGGATTTCATGAGATTTTTGAGTTTCTTGGATTTTTTGAAGATTTTGAAAATTTTCGATTTTTGCAATAATTTGATTTTATAGATTTTTTGGTTTTTATTGGATTTTTTGTATTTATTTTTATTTTTTGGATATTTTCGATTTTTTGGTTAATCAGATTTCTTGAGTCTTTTTAATTTCTTGGAGTGTTCGTTTTTTTTTGATAATTTTTATTTCATTTTTTTAATGATTTTTTTTAGATTTTTGGAGTTATTGGATTTCTTGAATTTTTGAGTTTCTTGGGTTTCTTGGATTTTTTAGATTTTTGGAATTATTGGATTTCTTGAGTTTTTTGGATTTTCTGATTTTTGGGATTATTAGATTTCTTGGATTTCTTCGGTTTTTGTTTTTTTTTTAGATTGTACGGATTTTTTCGAATTTTTGTTTTTATTTTGGATGAATTCAGTTTTTTCGATTTTTTGGACAATTTTTATTTTTTGGTTTTTTATTTTCCGATTTTTTTGGATTTTGAAATTATTGGATTTCTTGAATTTTTTGAGTTTCCTGGGTTTCTTGGATTTTTATATTTTTTTAATATTCTGGATATTTCCGATTTTTGGGACAATTGGGTACATGTATTGTATTTCTTAGATTTTTTAATTTTCCGGATTTTATTAAATTTTTTTCATATCTTGTTTTTTTTTATTTTTTGAAGTTTTAGAATTATTGGATTTCTTGAGTTTTTTTTTTGTTTTTTGGATTTCTTGGCTTTTTTAAATTCATTGATTTTTTCAATTTTCTTCCAATTTTCGATTTTTTTGGATAAATGGATTTCTTGAACTTTTTGGATTTTTTAGATTTTTGGGTTTCTTGAGTATTTTGAGTTTCTTGAATTTCTTGGATTTTTTAATATTTTTGATTTTTTGGATAATTGAATTTCTTGTATTTTCGGGATTTTTTTCGGATTCTTTTGGATTTGGATCTTGGGTTTTTGAATTTGTTCTATGTTTTGAATTATCGAATTTCTCGAGTTTTTTTTTGTTTCTTGGATTTTTTTAAATTCTTTGATGTTTTTGGATTTTTTTTAATATTTTGTATTTTCCATTTTTCGATACATAATTGAATTTCTTGCATTTTGATTTGGTTTTTTTTTGGATTTTTTTGTTGGGTTTCTTAAATTTTTAAATTCATTTATTTTGAATTTTTTCGAATTTTATACATATTTTCGATTTTTTTTTATTTGAATTGTAATTCTTGAATTTCTTGAACTTTTTGGATTTTTAAGTTTTTTGGATTTCTGGAGTATTTTGAGCTTCTTGGATTTCTTGGATTTTTTAAATTCTTTGATTTTTTTTTGGATTTTTTAAAAATATTTTGTATTTTCCATTTCTCGAAAATTGAATTTTTTGCATTTTGATTTGTTTTTTTTCGGATTTTTTTTTTATTTTTTGAATTCTTTATAGTTTTGGAATGATTGGATTTCTTGAATTTTTAAATTCACTGATTTTTAATTTTTTCGTTTTTTTTTTGGATAAATGGATTTCTTGAACTTTTTGGATTTCTTGATTTCTTGAGTATTTTGAGTTTCTTGAATTTCTTGAATTTTTTAAATTCTTTGAATCTTTGAATTCTTTTTAATATTTTCGATTTTTTGGATTTTTTTCATATCTTGTTTTTTTTTTTATTTTTTGAATTTTTAGAATTATTGGATTTCTTGAGTTTATTTTGTTTCTTGGATTTTTTAAATCCATTGGTTTTTTTACTTTTCGAATTTTGTGGATATTTTAGATTTTTTGGATAATTGGATTTCCTGCATTTCTTGGATTTTTTTGGATTTTCCGGATTTTTTTTTGATTTTTTGATTTCTTGGGCTTTTGAATTTGTTCTATGTTTTGAATTATCGAATTTCTCGAGATTTTTTTGTTTCTTGGATTTTTTAAATTCTTTGATTTTTTTGGATTTCTTTTTAATGTCATGTTTTTTCCATTTTTCGATACATAATCGAATTTCTTGCATTTTGATTTGGTTTTTCTTCGAATTTTTTTGTTGGATTTTTTTAATTCTTTATAGTTTTGCAATTATTGGGTTTCTTGGAATTTCTTGTATTTTTCGGTTTTTTTGCGCATTCTTTTGGATTTTTTGTTTCCTGGGTTTTTTGAACTTTTTGATTTTTCATTTTTTGAATATTTTATTTGTTGGAATTACTGGATTTCTTGAGTTTTTTTGGGTTCTTGGGTTTCTTGAATTTTTTAAATTCATTTGGCTTCTTAGGTTTTATGGAATTTAAAAAATTCATTAATTTTTTGGATTTTTGCGAATTTTACGGATAATTTCGATTTTTGGATAATTGGATTTCTTGAGTTTCTTGAATTTCTTGGACTTTGTGAATATTTTAGATTTTTGAAATTATGTACATACTAGGTTTCTTGAGTTTTTTAAGTTTCTTAGATTTCTTGGATTTTTTAGATTCTTTGATTTTTTGGATTTTTTTTAAACATGTATTTTGAAAATTTTCGATTTTTTGAATTTCATGAATATTTTTCTTTTCGATTTTTTCGATAAGTGGATTTCTTGTATTTTTTATTTTTTGGGCGTTTTCGGTTTCTTTTGGAATTTTTATTTCTTGGGTTTTTTGAATTATTTAATTTTAAATTTTTTGAATATTTTATTTTTTGGAATTACTGGATTTCCCGAGTTTTTAGGTTCTTGGGTTTTTTAGATTTTTTAAATACGTTGATTTTTTGGATTTTTTTAATTGTATGGATATTTTCAATTTTTTTAGATAAATGGATTTCTTGCATATCTTGTATGTTTTTAATTTTCCGGATTTTTTGTATTTTTTGGTTTCTTGGGTTTTGCATTTTTTTTTATTTATAGGATTTCTTGAGGTTTTTTTTTTATTTCTTACATTTCTTGGATTTTGTGAATTATCCAGATTTTTTTTGATTTTTTGATTTCTTGAATTTTTGGATTTTTTAATTTCTTTGAATTTTTAGATTACTTTTTTTTATATTTTGATTTGAATATTTTAGATTTTTTGGATAATTTGAATTTCTTGCATTTCTTGTATTTTTTGATTTCTTGGTTTTTGTGATTTTTTGGACCGTAGAAGCCTCCGAAATTATTTTTTATATTTTTGGAATTATTGAATTTTTTAGCTTCCTGGGTTTCTTGGATTTTTTAAATCCTTTGATTTTTTGGATTTTTTTTAATTACATATATGGATATTCTTAATTTTTTTGGATAATTGAATTTCTTGAGTTTCTTGAATTTCTTGAGGACTTTTTGGATTTTTAAGATTTTTTGAATTATTGGATTTCTTTAATTTTTGGATTTTTCCGAATTTTATGGATATTTTCGATTTTTTTGACAACTGGATTTTTTTGAATTATCCATTTTTTTTTATTGTTTGATTTCTTGGGTTTTTAAAATTTTTACAATTTTTTGTTTGTTTTTATTTTTGGAATTATTGGGTTTTCTTGAGTTTTTTTTGTTTCTTGGGTTTCTTGGAATTTTTAAATTCATTATTTTTTGGATTCGTTCAAATTTTATGGACATTTTCGATTTTTTGGATAATTGAATTTCTTGTATCTTTCTAATTTCTTAGTTTTTTTGATTTTTGAATTTTTTAGTTTTTTGGGAATTATTGGATTTGTTGAATTTTTTTAATTTCTTGGGTTTCTTGTATTTTTTAATTCTTTGATATTTTGTTGTTTTTTTTAGATAATTGGATTTATTGAGTTTGTTGAATTTCTTAATTTTTGAAATTATTTTTAGTTTCTTGGTGTTTAAATTCTTGAAGTTTTTAAATTTTTTGGATATTTTCACTAGCTAACTGAATTTCTCAAATTCTTTGGATTTTTTATATTTTGAGAAATCGTGGTTTCTTTCAATAATAACTATAAATTAACGTTGTCCCCTTATCTACGCAACCAGCAATACACTAAGTAATGTTTCCAGCCGACTGCGTTTTCTGTTGACTTTACAATGGCAACTATTCCTAATACCCTCGGGTATTATTTAGTCAATAACGCACCTCAAATCAGTCAAATCCAAGCCATTACAAACCAATAATAAAACGGTAATACAAAATTCAAAGGCTCTAGTGAATATTATTTCAAAAAACATCTGATTGTATTGAGATTTACTAATAAATCTTTGGTGAATTTTCCGATATATTTACCAAACCTCTTATCGTTAAATTTGACCGAAAAATTTATGACAAGTAATAAAACAAGCAAAAAGTAAAATCCCAAGTTGCGTTTCTGACAATTCAGTCCTTCGAACCGATCTTAACCGACTTTCTTACTAAAGGCTATCAATGTTAAAAAATAAAAGTGAACGTTACCGAGGGCTGCTCCTGCTCCGCACACCCGCTGGCCCCCTTTCACTATGACCACCTCGTAGCCTGTAAACATAGGGTTGAAAATCGGGGGTGGCCGAATGGGGGTACTTACCCATAAACGCGGTGTCCAGCTGAATGGGGTTCTCCCTAGGGAGATGCGGCACGCTCGGGTTGAACTTAAAACCATCTAAACAGCCCCGCAAACAACAAAACACGGAAACGGTTGACATAGTTATTTGCATAACCTCAAACTTTGACGTTTGCGGCGTCTGACAGATGCCGGAATGACAGCTAATTAAATCAAATAATAAAAATATAAATTAGCAACAAAAACGAAGAATCGTTATCTTTGAGTTTGATTACTGCACTTTTGAGATGATCGCTGCGATTAGGCGTTTTTTAAGGATAGGTTGCTAATCTTGGTGATAACATGGGGGCGCAGATGGTGTTCACGTGTTTCCTAGTTAACAAACAAAATCGTCCTTATCGGGCCAGTTAACATGGACTTTGAGCCCGGTGGAAGGAGTGATTGTGTTGTTTCCTGGATAGAGAAGCCATGGATCGGATTTTGCGTGGTATTATGAAGTATAGGTGTTGTAAGAAGGAGCAAATGGTGAAACAGTTTGTGAAAGTCAGAGACAACCCCACGGTAAGCGATTTTGTAAACTGCGCCATTTCGTTAGGTCTGCGCAAGCGTGGTGCAAGGGTTGGAAATTCAAAAGTTTGATTTTCAATTTAATTTCAGCCGAAAGCTGTGTTTTTCACGTGTATTGACAGCAGGATGATCCCCACGAGATTCACCCAAACCAACGTGGGGGACATGTTTGTAGGTGAAGTGACCAAACTTGTGCAAAGTCGAGATAATTTTGTAATTTGTAGTTCGTAACGCGGGAAATGTTATCCCTCACTCTCAGCACTTCTTGGACGAGCTCACCACCAACGAACCCGCAGCTATGGAACTAGGGTGTGTGGTCAACGACATCCGGCACATCGTAGTGTGCGGCCACAGCGACTGCAAAGCCATCAATCTCCTATACCAACTCCAAGACAGCGAATTTGCCTCTCAAGTAACACAAACCCATATTTATTTCAGCTACTTTCAACGAAAATTTTCTAGGATAACCGGCGGATTTCGCCGCTTCGCGCCTGGCTGTGCACCCACGCCCTGAACAGTCTGGAGAAGTTCCAGCAGCTGGCAGCCACCGACTACTCCAAGCCTTTGATTTTTCAGGCTGAGACGCCCATGAGGAAGTTCGTGGCGTACATTGATCCGGAGAATAAATTCACGCTGGAGGACAAGTTGTCGCAGATTAATACGTTGCAGCAGTTGCAGAATATAGCGAGTTACGGGTTTTTGAAGAAGAGGCTGGAGACGCACCAGCTGCACATACACGCGTTGTGGTTTGATATTTATACGGGGGAGATTTATTATTTTAGTCGCGGGGCGAAGAGGTTTGTGGTTATTGATGAGGATAATTTTGATAAGTTGTTGGATGAGGTGGAGAAATATTATTCGTGATGGGGTGGGTTAGGGTTTAATGGTGATTTTTTATGTATTTTCTATGTATTTTCTATTTTTATATTATATATGAGTATTATTTATTGTTAATAAAGTGTCTTGATTGTTGTTGGTCCGTTTTTTATCCTCTCTTTTGTGGTGTTTTTTGTCTACTTCTTTTTGCCCTTATTGTTTGTTTTCCGCCCTTTGCTATCGCGGTTCTTTTATCGCTTTTTGGCACATTTTCGATTTTTTGTTTACGTTTTTTTTTTCTATTTTTTGTTGCTTTTAGTTGACGTTTTGTTTATCGCCCATTTTTTTCGTTTTTTTGTCACATGTTTTGTCCTCTTTTTTTGTTGCCCTTTTTTTCTGCCTTTTTTTGTAGTTCCTTTGAGTTCTTTACGTCGGTTTTTTTTGCCAATTTTTTGTTGATTTTGTTCAGTTTTGTTGCCGGATTCTTCCATTTTTTTCATCGTCTTTTTTACTATCTTTTTCCTGGCTTTTAGTGCCATTTTCTAGGGCACTTTTTTGGTAATTTTTTTGTAGTCCTTTTTCGCCTTTTTTGACATTTTTTGCCGAATTTTTTGTCATTCTTGTCGCTTTTGGTCACTTTTCGCCCTCTTCTTTATCCTCTCTTTTGTCTATTTTTTGTCGTTACTTTATTATTGCTTTTAACTATTGTTTTTTAACGTCACTTTTGTGTCACTATTGTTGAAGCATTTTTTTGTCGTTTTTTTGAAGTCCCCTTTTTTATTTTGATTTTTGTGTCGCTTTTCAATTTTTTTTCGCGACTTTTTTTGTCACTTTGGTCATCCTTTTTTTTTTGCTTTCTATTTTGAATTTTTTAGATCTTGTAATTATTGGATTTCTTGAGATACTTGGATTTCTTGGATTTTTTAAATTCTTTGATTTTTTTGGACTTTTTGAATATTTTTGATTTTTTGGATTTTTTTAGTATTTTTAATATTTTCGATTTTTGGATAATTGAATATCTTGAATTTTTTTGATGACTTGGATTTTATTTGTAGGATTTTTGGAATTTTTTGGATTATTCATTTTTTGGAATTACTGGATTTTATGGATATTTTCGATTTTTTTGGATTACTGAATTTTTTGAATCATTGGATTTTTTTAAACTTTTTTGATTTGTTTGATTTTTTGAATTTTTAGATTTTTGGAATTACATATTGTATTTCTTGAGTTTCTCGAATTTATTGGGCTTTTGGGCTTTTTTAATTTTTGGAATTACTGGATTTCTTTATTTTTTCAATTTCTTGTATTTTTACTTCTCGAGCGTAAGCGAAGGAAGTATTGTAATCGAGTCCATCGGACGAATGGGCACTTTTTTAAAATTCTTTGACTTTATGGATTTTTTTAAATATTTTGGACATTTCGATTTTTTGGATACTCGCATTACTTGGATTTTTTTAATTTTCCAGATTTTATATTTTTCTAGGAAAATCTGGATTTTGCTATTCCGCTCCGCCCTTTGGTCTGACAACGAATGAAAAATTCATCACAATTGAGACCGGGCGGGTGGGCGGGGCTTATATTCTGCTCTCTTTTTTTCTTAATACGTGTAGTCTTCTTTTCACAACAAGAAACTCAAAACGTGTTCGAAATGGTAAATTTGTATAGAAAGATCTGGATTTTGCAATTACGCTCCGCCCATTGGTCTAACAACGAATGAAAAATTCGTCACAATTGAGATCGGGCGGGTGGGTGGGGCTTATTTTTTTTTCTTAACATGAACAGGCTTCTTTTCACAACAAGAAACTTAAAACATGTTCAAAATGTTAAGTTTTTATAGGAAAATCTGGTTTTTGCAATTACGCTCCACCCCTTGGTGTGACAATGAATGAAAAATTCGTCACAATTGACATCGGGCGGGTGGGCAGGGCCTATATTTTCCTTGCTTTCTTTTCTTAATATGCGTCGTCTTCTTTTAAATTTAAACTTACCACTTTGAATATTTTTTAAGTTTCTTGTTATGAAAAGAAGACTACGCATATTAAAAAAAAAAAAAAAATGGAAAATATAACCCCCGCCCACCCGCCCGATCTCAATTGTAATGATTTTTTTATTCGTCGTGAGTCAAGAGGGCGGAGCTTAATTGCAAAATCTTTATTTCTCTACAAAAAATTACCATGTGAAACATGTTTTGTTGTTGACATAGTAGGAAAAGGATGATATACAGTCTCCTTTTTCTCAAAATGGTCGCACATTAACAAAAAAGGGGGCAGGAAAGAAGCCCCGCCCACCCGTCCGATCTCAATTGTGACGAATTTTTCATTCGTTGTCAGACCAAGGGGCGGAGCGTAATAGCGAAATCCCGATTTTCCTATAAAAACGTACCATTCCGAACATGTTTTATGTTTTTTGTTGCGAAAAGAACGCTACGCATGTTAAGAAAAAAAGGGGGGCAAAATATAAGCCCGCCCACCCACCCGGTCTCAATTGTGACGAATTTTTCACTTGTTGTCAGACCAAGGGGCGGAGCGTAATTACAAAATCCAGATTTCCCATAAAAATTTGTAGGAAAATGAGGATTTTGCAATTAAGCTCCGCCCCCCCGGCTCACGACGAATAAAAAATCATTTTTTGGGGTGTAGTTTTTTTTGTTATTTTGAATTTTTTAGATTGTTGGAATAATTGGATTTCTTGAATTTTTT